TTAAAATATAGAATTATACAAATCATGACAGGAGTTTTCAATTGCCACTTACACAATCAGATAACTTACATTTTCCAGTAAATGTCTTGAAAGTTCTAAAAGGTTTCAGTTCACAATCTTCGCAAACCTAGGCGAGACACAGGATGGCTGTACATTAAATGCTAAAGAGAGCTTGAATGATATTATAACAGCGAGGTTATCATCTCAGTGCATTACAAATAACAGTGAAGAATTCCTAATGGATGTCACTAAACCAAACTACTTGTAAAGGAAACCAGCACGAGGATGTAACTTATTTGAATTTGTCCATATTGCCATTGATATAACAGCATTGGTATGATGCATAGTCTCTACAGATAAGATAGAAAGGACACTCCATGTCACACTGTATGGCAACTGTACAGAGGAGGACTGATTGGCAATCCAAAGCTGGACAGTTATATGGAACCAAGAAATCACCAGGAAGAGACGAGATCACTGCAAACTGTAACCTCATAAGCGATCACATCCCTCTCCTCCTCCAAAACCATCAAGCCAAGAGCCCAATCCAGCAAATATAGGCTGTCTTGCTGCTAGGAGCTGTACTCTCTAATAATTTCTTTTTTGGAGTGGATGGATGCTATTTGTGCACAGATGCATAGCTGGCAACAATTTGTGCGCAACTTCTTTCAGGTGCTGTTTGGGCTCACAACCAAGGAGTGAAATGTTACTAAGCTCTTTTAAATAAAATCATTCATGGGTTGCAGTGATATTTTTCTGATTTCTTTCTTTCTGATGGCCCTTAGATGACTTTTCCAACATCAATAGTCCGGAGGGCTGGGTCATCACAGATTAGAAGTTAAATTGCACCAGCTAAAAAAGTAGGGTAAGCAATCAGGATCTCACCATTCATCCCCTTTCTACAAAGGCAGATCAGGACTGTGACAGAACACTTAGCACTAGCCTGGATAGGTACCTCTAGAATAATAAAAACAGCCCAACGTTCACGCCAGATTAGCTTGCTTAGTTACTCCCTCAAACTCAATAATCCATTCTCTCCACAAAATAAAAACCAAAAAAAAACTGCAGATGCTGTAAATCAGGAACAAAAACAAAGTTGCTGGAAAAGCTCAGCAGGTCTGGCAGCATCTGTGGAGGTGAAAACAGAGTTAACGTTTCGGGTCCGGTGACCCTTCCTCAGAACTGGACCCTCAGAACCCCAGAAGGAGAATGTGCTAGAAAGTTTGAAAGACATGAGGATAGATAAGTCCCCTGGGCCAGACAGGATATACCCAAAGTTCCTACGGGAAGCGAGGGAAGAGATTATCGTGCCTTTGGCGAAGATCTTTGCGTCCTCACTGTCCACTAGAGTGGTAGCAGATGACTTGAGGGTGGCAAATGTTATTCCCTTGTTCAAGGGAATAGGGATAATCCTGGTCAGTCCTACTTCTGTGGTGGGCAAATTATTGGAGAGGATTCTAAGAGATAGTATTTATGATTATTTGGAAAAGCACAATTTGATTAGAAATAGTCAGCATGGCTTTGAGAGAGGCAGGTCATGCCTCACAAGGCTTACTAAATTCTTTGAGGATATGATAAAACACATTGAAGAAGGTAGAGCAGTTGTCGTGGTGTATATGGATTTTAGCAAGGCGTTTGATAAGGTTCCCCCTGTTAGACTCATTCAGAAAGTACGGAGGCATGGGATCCAGGGAAATTTGTCTGTCTGGATATGGAATTGACTGTCGAACAGAAGACAGAGGGTGGTAGTAGATGGAAAGTATTTAGCCTGGAGCTCGGTGACCAGTGGTCTTCCGCAGGGATCTGTCCTGGGACCTCTGCTCTTTGTGATCTTTATAAATGACTTGGATGAGGAAATGGAAGGGTGGGTTACTAAGTTTGCCAATGACATGAAGGTTGGTGGAGTTGTGGATAGTGTGGAGGGTTGTTGTAGGTTGCTACGGGACATTGACAGGATGCTGAGCTGGGCAAAGAAGTGGCAGGTGGAATTCAACCCAGAAAAATGTGAAGTGATTCATTTTGGAAGGTCAAATTTGAGTGCAGAATACAGGGTTAATGGCAGGATTCTTGGCAGTGTGAAGGACAGAGGGATTTGGGGTCCATGTCCATAGATCCCTCAAAGTTGCCACCCAAGTTGGTAGGATTGTTAAAGAAGATGTATGTTGTGTTGGCTTTCATTGGCAGGGGGATTGAGTTTAAGAGCTGTGAGGTTATGCTGCAGCTCTTATAAAACCCTGGTTAGATCACACTTGGAATATTGCATTCAGTTCTGGTCGCCTCATTATAGGAAGGATGTGGAAGCTTTAGAGAGGGTGCAGAGAAGATTTACCAGGATACTGCCTGGACTGGAGGGCAGGTCTTATGAGGAAAGGTTGAGGGAGTTAGAGCTGTTCTCATTGGAGCGAAGAAGGATGAGAGGTGGCTTGATAGAGGTGTACAAGATGATGAAAGGCATAGATAGAGTGGACAGCCAGAGGCTTTTCCCCAGGGCAGAAATGACTATTACAAGGGGGCATAATTTTAAAGGTGACTGGAGGAAGGTACAGGGGAGATGTCAGAGGTAGCTTCTTTACACAGAGAGAGGTGTGTGCATGGAATGCGCTGCCAGTGGTGGTAGTGGAGTCAGATACACTAGGGGCATTTAAGCTACTCTTGGATAAGCACATGGATGATAGTAAAATGAAGGGTATGCAGGGTAGTTTGATCTGAGAGTAGAATAATAGGTTGGCACAACATCGTGGGCCGAAGGGCCTGTACTGTTCTACGTTCCCTGAGACACGAAGGAAGGGCGGTACTGGCAGCTCAACATTCTGGAAGGGAGGTGACGAGGTTGCAGGCGGGGGTCAGTGGAAGCACAAGAGAAAAGGTGGGGCACTGTTGTACTGATAAAGGAAACCATCACTGCAGTAATGAGGAAGGGTGTCCTAGAAAAGTCTTCAAATGACGCACATGGGTACAGCTTACAAATCAAAAAAGGATGATTACCTTGCTGGGATAATACTACAGGCCTCCCAACTGTCAAAGGAAGACAGAAGAGCAAACATGTAGGCAAATTACAGAAGATATGAGAGTAACAGGATTATTGTTGTAGGGGATTTCAACTTTGCCAACATTAACTGGGATGACCTTAGTGAAAAAATTAGATGGGGAGAAAGTTAAGTGCATCCAGGAGAGCTTTTTGTGCCAGTATTTAGACTATCCTACAAGGGAGAGGGCTGTGCTAGACTGAATCCAAAAGAATAAAACCAGTCAAATGGTTGAAGTCTCAGTGGGCGAGCATTTCAAGGATAGTGACCAGAACTCTCAAGTTTCAAAGTCATTATTGAAAGGAATAAGGATAGTGCAGAAATAAAATGTATAAATTGGGAAAGGCCGATTTTAATATCATTAGACAGGATTTAGCAAACAGACTGGGAACAACTACTTGCAGGTAAGTCTATATTTGGAAAGTAAGAGTCTCTAAGAGCAAAGGACAAGGGAAGCAAGTCCAGGGAATCCTGGATGTCAAGGGATATTAGAGAGTTTAATAAAAGAAAGAACCACATGCCAGATACAGCACATTAAAATAGGGGAGGCCCTTCAAAAGTAGTGTAGGATGTTGCTGAAAAAGGAAACTTGGAAGGCAAACAGGGACCACAAAATATCCTTGGCGGATGGGATCACGCAAAACCCCAATGCTTCTTTAAAGTACATTAAGAGTAAGAAGATTACCAGGGAAAGACGGAGAACTATTAAGAAACTAAAGTAGCAACCTGTGCATGAAGCCAGCTGACATGAGTGACATCTTAAATATTTTTCATTTGTGTTCACAGATGAGAAAGACCTAGCAGCCAGGGATATCAGTTGGAATGAAATTCCAGAACACGTCAAGATTAATGTGGAGGATGTATTAGATATTTTAGTGGGCATACAGGTGCATAATTCCCCGGAACCTGATGAGATGTAGCCCAGACTGCTATAGGAAGTAACAGAGGAGATTGCTGGGGCCCTGGCCACAGGTGATGTGCCAGATGACTGGAAGATAGCTAATGTGGTTCCTTTGTTCAAGGAGGGCAGCAAGGATAGGCCAGGTAATTAAACACCGGTTGGTCTGATGTCAGTGGTAGGGAGTTTATTGGAAAACGTTCCAAAGAACAGGATTAATCAATACTAGGAAAGGCAGGGATTGATCAAGGATAGTCAGCATAGATTTGTTAGGGTTAATATAATTTTATTTCCTAATTTAGTTTTGAAACAGTGAGGGGCTGCAGTGGATGTGGTTTACATGGACTTCAGTAAGGCCTTTACAAGGTCTCACATGGAAGACTGGTCCAAAAGGCAGAAGCTCAAGGGGTTGGCAAACTGGATCCAAAGATTAGCTTACAAATAGGAGGCAAACGTTGATGGTGGAGAGTTGCTTTTGTATTTGGAAGGCTGTGATTAGCAGTGTACCATGGGGATCGTGCTGGGACCCTTGATATTATGCACATTAATAACTTGAATGTTCATGTAGAAGGTTTAATTAGCAAGTCTGCAAACGACACGAAAATTGGATGTGTAGTTGATAGAGAGGAAGATGGTTTCAGTTTAATTTGATATTGATCAGCTGGTAAAATTGGGCAGAGCAATGGCAGATGGAATTTAATCCCAATAAGTGCAAGGTGATGCATTTTGGTAGGTTTTAAAAGGGAAGGACATATACAATGAATGGCAGGTCCCTAGGGAGTACTGAGGAACAAAAAAAACTTGATGTTTGATGTACAAGTCCACAGATCCCTGAAGGGGTCAGTACAGGTAGACAAGATGGTGAAGGCAGCATATGGAAGGCTTGCTTCCATTAGCTGGGGCAGGAAATCTCGTTACAACTTTAAAAAGTTTCATTAGGCCACAGATGGAATACTGAGAGAAGTTCTGGTGGCCACACTATAGGAAGGGCACCAGTACACTGGAGAGGGCACAGAGGATATTCACCAGGATATTGCCTGGGATGAAAAGTATCAGTTATGAGGAGAGACCGGATATGCTGGATTTGTTGGGAGGCGGCGGGGCGGGGCGGGGCAGTGGTGGAAGGAATCTAATTGAGGTATACAAAATTAGGAGAGGCACAGACAGACTAGACTATGAGAATCTCACCCCCATGGCATATATGTCTAAGACCAGAGGGCATGTTTAAGGTGAGCGGCAGTGGTTTAAGAGAGATCGGAGAGTGGAAAACAAAAATGTCACCCAATGGATGTTCGATATATGGAACATGCTGTCTGAAAGGGTGATGGAGACAGGTACTCTTGTAACACTTAAGCAGCATCTGGGTTAGTACTTAAAATGCAGGGGCACAACAGGCTATGGACCAAGTGCAGGTAAATGGGAATGCTGTAGTTTGAAGTTTATTGGCAGTATAAATATGGTGGGGTGAAAAGCCTGTTTCTATGCTGTATAACTCTTAAATCTCCAGTCTTAACTTCTGATTTGGGAATAATGGAACTCTTACTATTTCATTTGCATTAGACATCTTACCTCTTGAAAGATTTCCTCTGTAACACAAGGTGGAGCATTGAAGAAGTGAAGTACATTGGAAGGAGGCTGGATCCTATTTTTGGCTGCCTGTCCAGGATTAGTGAAGCGGTTATTCCTCGAGTTGGTGAACTCCTTGTAACTATCGGTACCATCTATCAACTCATATGATTGGCTTGGCACAATTGATGCCTGTTTAGAGACACTGAAGTGGCACAGTAGTTACAGGGACTGCCCACACCACAAAAACTGAACTGAAAATTCTTTTATTAACAAAAGAAAACTGCCTACCACAAGTTAAGTTTCTTTCCAAACATCTCCACGCCATTCAGATGGGTGATTGCTCGCTCCACAGAAAATTCATCTCCCATTTCAACCATGGCAGCATCAGGCATGCTCTTCATGAACTTCACCTAAGAATAATATATTGTTTATAGAACAAAGACTGGAGTTTTGTTTAAAGGGCAGCCACATTCTGTAGCAGACCATCTTACTAACACAGTTACTTTTTAGTATTACAAATTAATTTTCTTTCTGGCTGTGCTTCTCACCCAGCTTGGATAGCTTGGTACCAATATTCGTCAGTCCATAGAAGGAACAAAACCTTGTTTAAACCAGGTTCAGACAGAAAACTGGGTTCTCATAATTTATCATCTCAAACTAATTACCGACAAATCAAGCCTGTGGAGAAGGTAGTTGGCTTCATGAAGTTAGGGTATAAAAGTAAAGAAATCTTTATATGAAATAATAGTTCTGCTACAGTTGCAGTGGTATGTCAATTCCGGACATTGTTCCAAAGTGTGTCATCAAGCCTGTACATTTTGTTTCTAGAGTTCAGATCTCATTGTAAAAAATTCAATTCAAACGAACTTAAAAGTCAACAATAAAAGCAAGTAGATATTATCAATCAGCACCCAAATAGAAACAGTTGAAGTCTTACCTTTTCAATATTACCATAGAGGCACAGAAGATTGAAGATTTTTTCACAATTCATTTTGTGTGGATTAAGTCCATAAATCATTATGACCTTGCCCTGAGGCACAAATTCAAAGTCAGGAGCAGAGTAGAGATGCATGGGTCTACTGCTGGAAGAGCGTGGATCCATTCTGTGTGCTAATGCCAATGGGCTTGTTTGATAGCCTGTTCAAAAGATTGTTAAAAGTATCTTTTATATCAAATACATAAAGTAATTATGCATAGACGTAATATCAGAAATGAATCATTTTCCTACAACACATCTTTCAATTAAAGTTAAGATTTATTCAAAAATGTTGAAATGTCAGCATCCTGTTGTTATTTTTAACTTGCGAATACACCAAACTACAAAAAAAATAACTGTTTATGTCCATCTGGTCCGAACAGTTCTATCCCAGGGCCTTGACATGAAGGAAATGTCTTATTGCCATCAAGATTTCTTTCCTTTCAAAATGTATACATGTAACCACAATTAGAGTAAGTAAACATTTAAAAGTGTAACACCCAGCTTAATGATTGACTTTCTGCCTTTTCATCTCTTCTTCCTTTTGACTGTAATCTCTACATACCCGTGATATTGTTTCTCTCTCACTCGTCTCCTCCCCTCCAAAAACTGTGCATACAACCCTACAGCAGCACACCCACGTGCCCTTATTGGCTTTCATCGTGATAATTCACTTACTGATTAATTCTGATAATTCATTTAAAGTTTTTTTTTGACAACCAAATTACAAAAGTCGATCTGTGAGGTCAGGGTGGTGTCTTTTCTTGAAGGGCTAGGAAGCAGTGGAAGCAAGAAAAGGAAAACAGTTAACAAGACTACTGACAGAGATTATGATTCAGAAAGGTGAAGGTCTATTCTAGATAAAAAGGTTCTTGATAAAAGTGTGAACTGTAACACCAGGAAGGGTCATTGGATCCAAACGTTCACTCTGACATTTTCTTCACAGATGCTGCCAGATCTGCTGAGCTTTTCCAGCAAATTCTGTTTTTGTTCTACATGCAATATTGCAAGGCAGACTCGGGTTCAATAATAAGAGTTTCTGCAATGGCAAATGAAAATTCAAAAATACAAAATATTCTCCTGCACTTTCAAGTAAGGGCTCAAAAGGAAGTTAAAGAATCTTCCTTTGTTAACAGAAGACCATGCAAGTGGGAACCTTTTTTTAATATTTAGAAAGTGAAAATGAGTCTCGAGTTACAATTTTGGGATTAGGGAGTATGGAGAGAACATTCCTGAAAGGTTCTATTAGAACTATTGACTACCTCCATATGTTGAAGGATGATCTCCTAGAAGGGCTGGCTGTCCTTGTCGCCTTCTTTCGTCTGGAATTAAAAGAAAGGAATAGAAATTAAGAGGTTTGTAGATACCTGCAAAATCATACAAGTACAATACTGAGATTCAGTACCTAGGTTCCCCCTGCGCAGTATTTATTTATAAACAAAAACTGCACTTTGCATGAACACATTATACAGAAAGTCAAAAACATTTGCACAGTCCTTTTTACAATTGATAAAAAAAAAAATACAATTTTGAAGAAACAGTACCTGTTCTTTTGTACCATAAGCTTCAAACAGCAAGATACAGCAGTTTCAAAACGGCCTTCTTAATAACTTGCAGGAGGATTCAGCAAAAGCGAGATGCTTCGCCCCTGCATTACAGTTTTATAATCAGTAAATACAGGGTTTTAAAAGGTAAACATACATCAATTCTTTTTTTAAAAAAAAACTTTACATGTGGTAAAAAAAAATCAGAACACAGTTGGTTGGCCAAATCCAATGGTTTTAAAAGTTTTACAAATACCTCATTCTATCCAGAAATTTGCTTCAGTCAGCAGACACATTAGGAGTGATTTCTTTGCCTAGTTAAATGATGAATTACCAGAACAGAATATTAAACAAATATTTTGGCTTTGAAGATAAAGCCATTTATTTTAAAGTATGGACATGGTCAACCAACAAAGCTTGATCACAAATCCAGAAACAATCGAATGTGGTGCAAAAGATGGAGTAAGAGTAAGCCAAAACGGGCGTTTCTAACATTTCGACAAATTTTAAGACCCAAAAAACTCTGCTTTTTGAAATTAACTGCAAGCATCAAACTTACAAATACTCAGCAATTGAAAAAAAAAAATAATGATTTGGCAGATTGTCATTTCCAATGCATTTTATGGCCAGAAATTAGGTTGAAAACACAGCACTGAAAAAGGTCCATCAAATAGAATTACAGTAATCAGTTATATTCTCTAATTAGTTATTGATACAAAGCTTCAATGAGTTTGACCAAGACAGGTATATACACATATGCCATAATTACAATGAAAAAAGGGCCAACTCATGATCAGAACGAAGATAACTTTCTTGCGCTAACAAGGTGGGCAACAAATATCTTTGCTTTCCATTTTAAGGGGAATCCAACACATCTCTGCTTTGACATTCAAATACAGAAGCCAGTAGAACACTCAGTTGCAAACAGTCAGTCAGAGGAGAAAGCATGAGAATGTGAGGAGGCGAGGGCTTTATGGGCATGCACCAATTTACCTTTCAGTACCATAATCTATATATCCACCTCATGTTGGCAGTTGGTACAGTAACTGCCCTCATCAGTTTCTTCTCCTCCTCCTGCCTACTTTACAACCTAACCCCAAGGATATTGAAACTGATTAATGCTTAACACATATCAATTCATAATTTGAGCTAGTTCAATTTTATCAATACCCATTTACTGAACCTTAATGAACTACACAATTCCTGGCTTTACTAAAACTTGCTATTTCCTCTAACTTCTAAATTTAGTATTAGCCAACGTTCAAATTGAGCTTAATGGAAGTAAGATTTAATTATTTTTAAAGTGAAGCATTTCCATTATGTAATCATTTGGTGGTGCTTTATAAAGACAACATTTATGTAATGTTGCTAAATAAACTTGGATGGCTGAAAGTACATTACAGCCAATGATCCACTTTCTGAAGTGTAGTGACTTACACAGAAAAACAAGGCAACAAAATCCCAAATTGTCATGTGGAAATGGCAAAATAATCTGTTTCTCAGGATTGAATAACGTAATGAGAATTTCCCTGCACTTAAAGCTGATAACAAAATAAGTGCTTATACATTTTCTGGACAGTGCACGCAGGATCTCAATTAAACATCTCATCTCAAAAACAGCACACCCGACAGTGCAGCATACTGTTGGTACAGCAGTGAAAATGTCAACCTGCATCACGGACTCAAGTCTCTGCAGTAGGACTTGGAACACTAATGGCTACCTCACTTAGTCAAGGGTGATAACTAGAGTCACAGAAAGACAGGGGTTTTATTTAGTTGCAAAGCAAGAGAAAACAAGCTTTTCAAACCACTTACATCACTGATATTTTGGGTCTTAAAAGCATGTGTCAGTATTAAAAAAAGGCATAGGAATGTGTCCATTTAAAAATGACAACACCAATGGTCATTATTCCACTGAATGCACTACAGACATTTTACAATTAATAGCAAACAACCATTATAAACAAAAAAAACCCCTGATAATTCTTATAGCCCTCCACCTAGCAAGCACACAGTGATTCCTGGATTTGTCAAAAAGCTCAAGTTACTTCAATCTCAAACTCAGCCTCAGAAGTCTTCATGAGATTAAAAAGCAAACAAACAGTCATTAAGTGGATTTCTTCTCTTCAATAAAAATTTACAAGAGTAGCTTTTTCTTTAATAATTTATTTCACAGCATTAAATGCATTCAGATAGAATTTCATTTCAGTCTTACGGTGGCAACTTGCAAACATATCCTCTGTGCACCGATGAATGGGGAAAAAAGAAAAGTGTCCTTCCTGATCAAGTTTCCTGAGGATGTGTTTGCATGCAGTCTGGGTGATCTGAGATTTATTGAAAGTCTGTTCTGTTTCTGAAGGCTGGATTGCTGTCATTTGTAACTGCGAAATGCTGGCATTCGTTGGAGAGGTGCATGAATTGATTAGTTTGCCTGGCTTGCCCCTCTTCTCTCTGTGGTGTCACTTTCGCTGGTGTACCTGAGAAAATGTCTTGCTCCAGGATGGAGGGGGCGGGGAAAGAAAAAGGATCAATATCCTTCCGGCAGTGAAGATATTAATTTGCAGAAGGTGAATGTAGCTTTGAAGATTTAGTATTTCTGTAATTGAAGTCTTGGTTCTCTCTCTTTCCCCTTTGAGTGAAATGTTCTTGAGTATTGCGTGCATCTTTGAAATCTGCGATTTTCTGTGCCGTAGCCTTGTTTGCATGTACAGTTCATGTAGGTGAGTTGCAGCTACAGTGCTATAACAAGTGTTGCAAGTGAACTTCAAAACATCCAGCAGAGGACAGTGCAGGTCAACACAGACAGTTAAACCTGAATAATATTCTTTTCAAACAAATGTTAGACTACCAGCAATTGCTGCAAAAATATACAAACCATCAAGTATCAAAGTGGTTACAATAATTAAGAAATGATTATGCAACAACAGAAGGACCCATAAAAAAAAAACCTATCACTTTGGATCATATCTTCATGACCTATGAAATGAGTGCATCAAATTTCACATCTTGGTAAAAAGCTAAACGATAGCTAATTTCTTTGGTATATCTCAAATCTCATATCTCAAGCCTCCCTTAATTAAAAAAAAAAGTTTAAATCTCTTGATTAGTTCATAATCTGGGTTGGATTACTTGGAAAAATGTAGCAAGAACTTAAACCAAACTAAAGCTGTACTGTGAAACAAGGTTTTGGTTTTCTTTTAAAAAGTTACAGAATCATAGAATGCAAATGCTACATTGCTAAAAGCTTAAATAATGTGACCTCCAACTAATACAGACCGCTCCCCACACCCCCAATTTAAGACACCCTTCATTTTATTTTTAAATACAAAGAGCTAGACAACTCCATTTGAAACACAGAACTGTTCTAACAAGCTGCATCATTCAGGTCACACATCGATTGCACAGAAGGACTCCCTACATTTCCAGCTCTCTTCTGAAACCAGTAACTCTCACAAGGTTTTGATTCCACAAGAGAGAGAATGACCAGCTTTTACACAAAGACCAATGATTCTATAGGGTCTTTGACAATCTCAGGATGTCTAAGCTTTTACAGCCAATTAAATATTTTTTGAAATACAGTAATTGTTGTAGTAAAAATACCAATGCCTGGCACAAGTCAATTAATTCAGAAAGACTACATATTTCGTGCTATTAACTGTCTGGTTTTCAATGGGAAGCCATAAATTAGAAGGAACTCAGTCTAAACTGCCCCTTCAGCAGCTCAGAATATCAAGAACCATTTGTCATCATCCTTTGTTTACAAACCAATGTTCCCATCTCCATTAGGCAAAAGTACTGCAATTTTCAATGACAGATATGAATCCTCAGCTGCTAATTAAAACAGATAGACATTAGTCCATTTTCTGTGTGCAAACCAACTAAAGTTTGAACATGGCACATGGTGCAATAGACTATATAGTTTTTGAGGTCATCCTATGTGGCAAATCCTGAGTTTAGCACATGCCCTGTTGCTAAGTTAAGAGATATTTCTGTCAACTATTCAAATCCTGGACTTGAGGCAAAATGAATGTTTGTTGCTGGAGGTCTAACATGATGACAGGATGCGTCATGTGCAAAAAAAATTCGAAGAACCTACACAAATAATGAGGGTACACCATACCTCGAGCAGTTAAATCGGGATTAGTGTAGTCCCAGGACTCGCTATCATTCTTGAACACGTTCAGTCGAGTAGGCTGGTGAATTGAAAGAACATCTTCTTGATTTAGTATGTGAAAAGCAAGAATTGAATTCTTATTTAGAAAATGAACCATTTTAAGTTTACCTTGGCATACTCAATTTTGAGTGTGCAGCAACCAGAATAAATGTCTGCACCATTTAGAGAGGCCTTTGCCTTCTGGGCACTTTGGACTGAATCAAATGTACAAAATGTTAAGGAGTAAACTGCAACTTTAGTAAGTAAATATTACCAAACAACAGTCATGGTCATACCCATTTCTGTCCTATGAGTATGGATAAAAGATTATTTCTCAATTCATTCCCTTCATCTACGGTTGAAGGTGGGTTTACAAAAATGCTTCCATTCTCTCAGGATAAAAGACTTGAACTCAGCATTAGTGGTTGACCATTCAGTGCTGAGAAGAAATTAATTACTAGAAGGTCTGTGAATCACTGGAATGTGGCTGTCCAGTCGTTTAGTCCATTCAATACAAGATCAATATGATTCTTGGCCCCTAAAGAAATTGAGGTTTATAGGGATAAGGTAGAAAGGCGCAGCCCAGGGAGATGAACAGCCACAATCTCAATGAATACTGGTGCAGGGTCAAGAAACTGAAAGGCCTACTCATGCCATATTCTTTCTGCAGCTTTCAAAATCTGAGAATATCCAAAATAACTATACATCCATTGAGTACATCAGAATCATAGTCACCACAGTAATCTCGGAAACCTAATAACTGACCTGCACAAAAACAACAATGAGTCAACAGGTCAAATAAATGGCTTACGTGATGCTGGTTGAGGGATCTATTTAGTGAACCTTCTTTTCATCTAGTAGCGTTATCAGATGATTTATTTCCACTTCGAGTTGGAGACAGGGCCTCAGTTTAATATGTCACCCAAAAGCAAGCACTTTCAGCCATGTAGCCTCCTTCTCAGTGCTCACACAACTCTGGACCACTTACTCAAATTCTGGTCTAAAACCACAGAAGGGTAAAAACACTGAATGAGATTATTTGGGTGTAAGGTCCATGTTCGCTCGCTGCAAGAGCGAGTCATCCAATCCCACAACCATGCAGTTCCTCACATTCTCTCTTCTGGTAATTATCCAATTCCCTTTTAAAAGTCACAAATGTTCCGCTGTAATCTCAGGCAGCACAATCCAGACCTTAACCACTCTTGAAAATATTGTTTTCTCTTCTCAAATCTGGTTCTTACGCTTTTTTTGTGCATGCTGGTTTTGAAACCTTCGGTCAATGAGAATAGTTGCTTACTAATGTCCTTTGAGGAAGGAAATCGGCTATCCTTACCTGGTCTGGCCTACAGGCGAGTCCAAACCCACACCAGTGTGGTTGATTTTTAACTGCCTTCTGGACAATAAATGCTGATACAACTAGTGATGCCTACGCTCTACAAGTGAATAAGTAGGGGACCCAGATCTACTCAATCTAGACCCCTCATGATTTTCAGCATCTCAATCAAATTTCTCCTGAAGCTCAAGATCCTTCTTAGAGATATTCATATGCAAATTCCTCAACTTATATTATCACTTTTGATGTCTTGTACAATAATCTTCTGTACTGCCTCTTCTCGTTCTTTCAACCAGAACATATCACTTACTCCTACCACCAACTCTATAAATACCTCTTAGTTTCTATCATTCTTCTTCATCGTACTTTCAACTCTTGTGGCATCAGAAAATTTTGAAACTGTGCCCTGCATACTCATGGACAAATAACTTTTAGAACAGGAAAAGATGTGGTCTGAATAAGACTCCTTAGAAACCCCACTATAAATGGTCCCCCAACTCGAAATAAGCTGTTTCCCAGTCTGAAAATCAACTTCTCAACCATACTGCCACTGTCCCTTACTTCAAGTGTTTACGTTTACTGACAAGACTGCTATATGGAACTTAGTTTAATGTTTTCTGGAAGGCCAAGTACACCGCATCAGCTGCGTTATCCTCACTAATCCCATGAGCATACATTTGTGATCATAAGGCTGTTGGAGACTAATAGGGACAAAAGTTAATGATGCTCTAAAGCAACTACTTGAACACACCACAGGTTAAAAACCTAAAAACAATCCCTCAGCAAAATAAAAAACATCTGTGTCCTACAACTTGATCATCAGCTGGAAGTCGAAGTGAATCCATGTTGGTCATTGGGGCAATGCATTTCCCCTAATGGAAAAAGATATTCAACGAGAGCCTGTATTCCATTCTTCTTGAAGATGACAATACGCAAGACTGGACCACACGCATTGCAGACAGTATACAGAACATCCTGAAAAGAGACATAGGGATTTACACAACAGGATTGTACACAAAATGAAAATAATAAACAAGACCAAGATGCAACAGCTTTCAAGGTTTGCCTCTTCTATTAGAATTTGGACTAGACCGCAATTCGTTTATTCTGCTCTTCCATGTAATGAAGATTTGGCAAAAGGACAGACACGCTCCAAATAAAGGACACAAGTTAGGTTGATTTACAAATTGTCAGTCTACCATATGATGAGTTTCAGTTAATTAAAAACAATTATGACTTTAGCCGTGCAACGTTTGAGACAAACTTACCGTTGTGATTGGATACAGCGGATTCTGAATAGATAAGAAGAGAACATTGTTGACATGCTTTGGGTCTTCAGGACCCCCGGGGCGAGTGATTCGTTGACTCGTGGAGAAGTTAAAGAAAGCAGGATGCCCAGCAATATTGACAATCCGCCGTTTAGCATAAGCAACACACTTCTGGGCACTTCGCAAATCTTGAAATTCCACCAGAGCTTGTCGTTTGTTAGGTAACATCATCACATAGCTGTAATGAAAAGTCCAGCTATGAAGAACTGTTCTTAGGACTAAAACACTGCTGTAGCCCAAGAAGCCTACAAGATGAAAGACACTTATTTGAACACCTGAAGGATCTCCATAGCAGAGTGTAAAACAAGTCACCATTATCACTTCACCTATGCTAATAGGGGTGGAAAATTAATCTAGAGATCTCTCTTTACCCACCCCATGACAAACTGTTTACTGATTATAAAGAAGTTTACAAAACATTCAATAAAGTATTGGTTATGAGGTTTAGGTGATATCATAGCAGAATATGTCCAACCAAATCCAACAATAAATCACTAGGCTTCCGAAAAATTTGTAACATTATACTTCACAAGCATCTTAAAATAGTCTGGTGGAATAGGCTGGTTCTCCTCTCGTCATCTCATCTATTTAGAGAGAATGATTAGACAGGAAACAGGGAGAGTGTTTTCTCTCAGCACAAGGATCACAATCCAGGATACCGATTTAAAGCGAACATCTAAAGAACCAGCTGTAACATGACCAAAAATTTTTTTTTTTATTAAAAACACAGCAAGAAGCTAGATTCTGGAACGTGTTGCCCAAGACTGTTTGTAACATATTGAGAGTTTTTCAAATGGGAAAGGAGTTATTACTGGAAGAGAGAGATCATTTGCAGGGCTACAATGAAAATATAGGGGAGTGGGACTAGTTTACTTTCTTTAGCAGAGAGCTGGTACAGATACAACAGGCCAGAACCATCCAATGATGTGAGAATTCAGTTGCTGGGTTGATAGAGTAAACTTTAAGATACAAGTCAACATTAGGCCCAGATGCTAATTTTTGCAACATTATTTGGACAAAGGTAAAGAAATAGTAACAACAAAAATGAAATCTGTATTTAATCAAAGACCAATTTAGGAGGTCAGAAATAATCTATGCATCCTGCAGATAAAACAGTAATTTGGCTTGGAGGTTTTTGCTTGTCTAGCAAGGCATAACACAGACAAACCATTGTTACGTCTAGAGGCCATATAGCTTGAGGAAACCATTCTAAATCAAACAAAATCTTCCAGTCTGTCGTAGACAAATTGAAAAGCTTTACAGTGGATCAACCTGTTTGGTTATATTATAGGCTTACCTCCCTGTGGTCATCAGTTTCAGGAGTAAGACTCAAACCCAGAACCTCTGGCTCAAAAGGAAGATACATTACCTGCACCGCAAGACCACCTCATCTCAATGACATGTTAAAGAATCATTAATTGCAAACAACACTCAAGTATACAAATAAAATGAAATTGGAACAGCTGAGACAAATTTAAAAATCTGGGATTGAAATTTAAATTGGAGACCATGATCTTAAGCACATTAGGAAGAACTTAAAAGTTGAACAACACTTGGAGGAAGCACTGAGGATGGCAAAGGCACAAAACGTACTCTGGGTGGGACATTTCAACATCTACCACCAAGTATTACTGATCAAGCCGGTCAGGCCCTAAAAGACACAGTTGCTAGACTGGGTCTGCAGCAGGTGGTGAGGGAACTTACAAGAGGGAAGAGCATAACTGACCTAATCCTTACCAATCTGCCAGCTGCAGATGCATCTGTCCACAACAGTATCAGTAAGAGCAACCACCGCACAGTCCTTGTGGAGACAAAGTCCCGCCTTCACATCGAGAATAGCTTCCATTGTTTTGTGTGGCACTATCACCATGCTAGATGGGATTGAATTCAAACAGATCCACCAACTCAAGACTGCATCCAGAAGGCACTGTGGGCCACCAATAGCAGAATGGTTTAATGGAGAGTGCAGGAGGGCATGCCAGGAGCAGCACCAGGCATACCTAAAGATGAGGTGTCAACCTGGTGAAGCCACCAAAGAGGACTATTTGCAGGCCAAACAACATAAGCAACAAATGATAGACAGAGCTAAGGAATCCCACAACCAATGGATCAGATTGAAGCTCTGCAGTCCTGCCACATCCAGTCATAAATGGTGATGGACAATTAAAAACTAATTGGAGGAGGAAGTTCCACAAATATTCCCATCCTCAATGATGGAAGAGTCCAGCACACCAGTGCAAAAGATTAGCTGAAGCTTTTGCAGCAATCTTCAGCCAGAAGTGCCGAGTGGGTGATCCATCTCTGCCTCCTCCAGTGGTCCCCAGCATTACAGATACCAGTCTTCAGCCAATTCGATTCGCTCCATGTGATATCAAGAAATGGTTCAAGGCACTGGATACTGCACAGGCTACAGGCCCTGACAACATTCCAGCAATAGCACTGAAGACTTGTGCTCCAGAACTTGCCACTCCCCTAGCCAAGCTATTCCAATAGTTACAACACTGACACTTACTCGATAATGTGGAAAATTGCCCACGTATGTCCTGTACACAAAAAGCAGGACAAATCCAACGTGACCAATTACCGCTCCATCAGTCTACTCTCGATCATCAGTAAAGTGATGGAAGGTCTCATTAACAGCGCTATCAAGCAGCACCTGCTCGGCAATAACTTGCTCAGTGACACCCAGTTTGGGTTGTGCCAGGGCCATTCAGCTCCTGACCCGATTACAGTTTCAGTTCAAACACAGACAAAAGAGGTGAATTCCAGGGGTGAGGCAAGAGTAACTGCCCTTGACATCAAGGTTGCATTCCACCGAGTTTGGCATCACAGAGCCCTAACAAACCGAAATCAATAGGTATCAGAGGGAAACCTTCTAGCGGTTAGAGTCATACCTGTCAAATAGGAAGACAGTTTAGATTGTTGGAGGTCAGTCATCTCAGCTCCAGGACATCTCGGCACAAGTTCCTCAGGGTAGTGTCCTGGGTCCACCCATCTTCAGCTACTTCGTCAATGGCCTTTCCTCTATCATAAGGTCAGAAGTGGGAACGTTTGCCAATGATTGCACAATGTTCAACACTACTCGTGACTCCTCAGATACTGAAGCAGTCCATGTGCAAATGCAACAAGATCTGGACAGTATCCAGGCTTGGGCTGACAAGTGGCAAGTGACATTCACGTCACACAAATGGCAAGCTATGACCATCATCAATAAGAGACAATCTAACCACCACCCCTTGACATTCAATAGTGTTACCATCACTGAATCCCCCACTACCAACATCTTGGGGGTTATCATCGATCAGAAACTCAGTTGGACTTACCACATTGATGCAGTGGCTACAAGAGCAGGTCAGAGGCTAGGAATTCTGCGGCAAGTAACTCATCTCCTAACTCCCCAGAGCCTGTCCACAGTCTACAAGGCACAAGTCAGCAGTGTGATGGAATACAACACCAACACCACTTAAGAAGCTTGACACCATCCAAGATAAAGCAGCCCACGTCAGCGGCACAACATCCACAAGCATCCACTCCCTCCACCGCTGATGCTCAATAGCAGCAGTGCGTTCCAGCTACAAGATGCACTGTAGAAATGCACCTACCAAACCCACGACCACTTCCATCTAGAATGACAAGGGTAACAGATACATAGGAACATCACCACCTTCAAGTTCACCTCCAAGCCACTCACCATCCTGACTTAGAAATATAGTGAAGGAACGGTGAGGTCACTGGGTTAAAATCCTGGAATTCCCTCCCTAATGGCATTGTAGGTCAACCCACAGCAGATGGACTGCAGCGATGCAAGAAGGCAGCTCACCAACACCTTCTCAAGGACAACTAGGACAGCGCAATAAGTGCTGGCCAGCCAGCGATGCCCATACCCTGCAAAATGAATAAATTAAAAAAAGTTTGAAGTAATTAAATCAGATAGGCAAAAGTACCAGGATATGGAGATAATAAATGTCATAATGGACAGTTAGGAAAGTGGGGGAACTTGGCAGGTCAGTAATATTTTCATGATCCCTCACTCTCTACAATGAGATTATTAATCTGATGGATGTGTCAAATTATTCTGGTGGTTAGATGTTCTTACCTGGTTGGGACAAAGCAATCTTTGAATTTGTAGAAACATTAGCTTTCCCCTTGTTTACTGCGTGTTGAACTACAGTTTCAATGGTATCAAATCACCAAAACTGATGTGGCCTTGTAAGAGCACATTACTGCAGATGCTAGAATCTGTACTGAAAACAAAGAATGCTAGAAATCACAGCAGGTCAGGCAGCATCCACGGAGAGCAAGCAAGGAGAAGTTTCAGTCATCTCGACTCGAAACGTTAGTCTGCTCTCTCCATGGAAGCTGCCTGACCCACTGATTTCCAAAACTTTTTTGTTTTCAGTAAAGAATGTGGCCTTGCTGGATTACGAAATATGCATGGTGGATGTTGTTCCAATGTGACCTTTACGGAACTCACCACCACTGTTTCAAAGGCAAACAGACTGGTCTTGTCAGTGACGACCACAAAGCCAACAAAAACAAAACTACAGTGACACTTGAAAATACCCAAGAACTGCAGATGCTGGTTTCAGAGTCAACAGAGTGGAGAGCTGGAGGAGCACAGCAGGTCAGGCAGCATCGGGAGTTCTGAAGAAGGGTCCCAATCCGAAATGTCAACTTTCCTACTCCTCTGATGTTGCCTGACCCTCCGTGCTCCTCCAGCACCACACTGTACAGTAACATTTGGTTAAAATTGTGCATACTATAGATAAACACACAATTATACATCAATATGAAAATATGTTTTAAACTGCTTTGCAAATCTTGTTATTTATTCGCTCATGTAGGTTGCAGCCAAACTTTTCACACCGCATGAAGACAGAAGACAATGAAATTCCTCCCCCATCCACATAATGTAATCAGCTCATCTCTTCCACCCCATCACATACCTGTCTTCCAAAGCAACCTCCACCTCCCCAACACACTTATGCTTAGCCTAAAGTTATTCATTCCACCCTTACCCCAAACTTAACATTTCTCCACCTCGCCTGGATGGACCAAAGTCTCAGGCCTTGCACCCCACCTTCCTCTTCAAGTGGAAAGCCTGACATTTATTTCAGGCCTTGTTTTACAAATTCCTTTGTGACTGAATACAAGATACTCCATAAATAAATGAAGACAGCGGGCTACTTTCAAATGATCCACTATGGGCCTCACAGCGAGAGCTGCACTGCAATCATATACTGATTTGACCATGATCCAATTTCTAGACCAGTTTTTCTAGTCCTGCCTCATAACTCAGACTCCTAAGACCAAGGACCAGCTATGTAACTCCTTTTAATACCTTGCTCAGTTTTTGATGCTCTCTCGTTTCTTGGTTTCAAAGCTGAACTTTATCCCAGCTAGCACCTGGCTAGAACTATAAAATTTGACTACCACCTTTTTACTATGGACCATGGAGTTTAACATCTTATTGTACTCACTGATTAATGCTCCAGATTCATTTAGCATTAAGTCTAAGATCCTTGGGCTCAGCGATTTCAAAATTATTCAAAGTACACACTTCTCTACTTTGCCCTCACATGCAATGCATTGAACTAAATTTCAACAATTGTTCTGCCCATTATCATTGCTTGTCTGAGTTAAACTGAGAAGGTACATCACAGCTTCTGAGGGGTATACACTAATGTAGTAAGTTTTAAATTCTAGCTGTAATTCAAGATTTGCACAAACTTAAAAAGTAACAGCAAAATGGAAGCGTTTGAACCTCAGGCACAATATCCACTTTGAACATCAATCAAATAACTTCAACCCTAATCCTAAAGGTGCAGAGAAAAATCAGATGCTGTTGCTAGATATTTCATCTTGGGAATTTGAAATGCAATATGGTGATGAAGTGCATTAACACAAAATTAGTGAATGTGCAAGCATTTTATACAGTTAAACTACAAAGTGCCATTAGTGACCCCCCTCGCAAAACTCTTGGTGACTCCACTCCTCCCACTTGCGCCAACCCTGTTTTTGGCCTCCTCCTCGTATACTGAAAGAAAAGGTACATAAAAGGTCAGTGAAAATTCTAAATCAACTACCATGAGCCAATTAGGTGAGTCACTTACCTTATGAGTCCAAATCGATCAACACCTTTCACCAGGTCAGCTTCGATCACAGAGTCGCACAAAGCACGGACATGAACCACAGGAGATGGGGCAGTCTTGTGTTGGCTTCTCGGTCGATCATGATCTCGGTCCCTGTCTCTATCTCTATCGCGTTCCCGATCTCTATCACGATCCTAAAAGGGAAATGTTTGTTACTGCAAATAAATTATCTTCAAGACTATTCTATTGTAATACTTTACCCCTGCGTGGGTCATTGCTTCAAATCAAAATATTTTGAATCTAACTAGTGCTATTTCTCTGATTTGAATCACTGGGCAGTAAAAAGTAACCTCAAACAAGTCTCAAGTAACGAGCCGGAGGTATTTTAACTGTTGTTAAATTGATCCTCAGTAATTCAACTGTGGTTGAGTAGGCAATGCGCACTTCTTGAATCAAGTTCCAATTTAGGGAGTTGAAACCCAGACGGACATTCAATACAGCATCCCTTAGTACTGTGACACTAATGAGACAGGGGTCACCCTCAAGATGAAAAGGGCAAACCTTCTCAGGTGGATGCAAAAGACCCTGTCGCAATATTCTGAAGAGCAGAGGAATTGCCTGGGATTTCTGTCTGCAAATTGTTGATGTCTCCCATATTACAATGGTGATTAAACTGCATGAAAACTTATTTGGCTGTGAAACATTTTAGGATGAAGACTGTGAAAGGTATTTTCTAATCGAGAGCTCTTTCTTTCAATTTAAATCCACAATTACCTGCTGTTATGTCTTAATTAATCTAGCTCTGTCACAGCAGAGCTAACGCATAGATTTGAATTCTAGTTCTTAAGCAAACAACTGGAGAAACACAAGCAAAACAGTAGAAACAATCTCAATGAGGGTACATAAAAACAACTGAAGGGAGGGAAAAGAAAAATTGCAAGAATTGAGCACATGTAATAAAGAGATCAAAAAATAAATTGTGGGTGGGTGGTCATGTACCTGAATCAGGTAGACAAGGATTAAAAAAAAAATTTCCCTCTTTGGAAGGAGGCCCAGTGATAGAATATACAGCTTGCATAAGATCCTAGTTGCCAGTACAAATGGATGTTTACAACCTTACTCCAAAGGTAAGTCGATTAGGATGAAATTAGGGGTTCTGCTCTATATCTAAAATGGTACAGTTTGTTAAAAGTAGATTTTAAAACAACACACCTCCTTCCCATCCCCCCGCCCCCAGTGCTCTTACTTCTTATTAAAGGTAAAATTCCACCTCAGAAGAACAAGCAAGGCATAAAATCACCCTAATCAGGCCTTGACAATCCACATTTGAAAGTCAGTTCTTCACTTATTGTGATATGATCCAGTGAAAATTAACTAGTTCCAATCCCTTGCCATTATTTTCAAAACTGGTAGATAAAATCCTGTGTACGGAGTTTAACTGAACTAGAAATTTTATAGTATGAAAACTGGCCATATGGCCCAACATTCTGCTCATATTTCAAATTTCCATATAGAAAGTGCTGGGAAAACTCGGCGGGTTTGGCGGCATCCATGAAGAGAGAAATAGAATTCCCATCAAGTGCAGCATGACTCTCAGCAGATGCTATCAAATTTTCTTTTACTCCTTTCTCCTGCGTGTAATTTTAGCTTCCCCTTAAATGAAGGCAGAGACTTGGCTTCATACACCTTGTTAACAAACCAGAACAAGATGTCTTGTCAAAAGCAGCATAATCTGCTTCTATGATGCTACCAGAACTCCCGCATACTACAGAAATGGCAGGAAGATCATTTGCCTGTAAGCAACAGCTTACTTTTTCTGCCTCCTCCACCAAACATGAACTAAGGAAACAAAGGAGGGATGGGGAAGTGGTGGAAAAGCCACTGGGCCAGTAACCCAGAAACCCACGCTAATGCTCAGGAAACATGGGCTCAAATCCCGATGATGATGACGACGACGACGATGACAATGACAATGATAACAACAACTGAAATTGAAAGCTGATCTCTAATGGTGATCATGAAACTTTACAAAACAAACCCTGGCTGCTAATGTCCATTAGGGAATCTGATAAATCCAACTTGGTGACAGCAGAGCAGAAAACACATTGACTTAAATGTTGCAGCCGACAGTGAAGCAAAGGCATTCACAACTGCTCATGTGGAAAACAATTTCACCCTAACTTACATCCTTTCCAGCTCCCATGACTTTCCCCCTCCATCAAGCCATTTCCAACATTGGTGCTGGGCAGGAAATAGAGCTGAGGGAAGGAAAGCAAAGAAATGCCAGAGGAGAAGGAGTGCATTCACATTCAAGTTAGAGGGCTGTCCAAATAATTTGTGGACAATCACTCACATGACAAGTCAGCAGGAGCTCAAGGCACAACATAACTTCAAGCACGCGTGGACATCCCAGAAGTGCCACTGCAACCCTCACCAGCAGCAAACTCTGCATCTGTGTTATCTGGGCTTTTGAAAATTAATGGCAAACTCAGATTTTTGCTAGTCAACACCTTTTGCAGATGCACCATAGAAAGCATTCAATCTGGGAGCATAACGGCCTGGTATGGCAGCTGCTCTGCCCACGACCATAAGAAACTACAGAAAGTTATGTACACAGCCCAGATCATCATGAAAGCCAACCTCCCATCCATGGACTCCATCTGAGTGCCGCAGAAAGGCTACCAACAAAGACCCTTCCAACCCAGTAATACTCTTTTCCAACCTCTTCGTCAAGCAGAAGATACAGAAACTTAAACACATGTACCAAGAGGTTCAAGAACAGCTTCTTGCTGGATATTATTAGACTGCTGAATAGACCTTTCAAATTCTAAATCTACTGTTGATCTTGCTTTTGTGCACCTCCTGGGCTGCCACAACCTTGTATGCCTCGCTCTGTCTAAACTCCCTATGATCTGTACGTCCTTGCATGTTATGATTTGCTTATACTGCTCGCAAAACAAAAACTTTTCACTATACAAATAAATTATTGCAGATGCTGGAATCTCTACTGAAAACAACCAATGCTGGAGATCACAGCGGGTCAGACAGCATCCATGGAGAGAGAGAGCAAACTAATGTTTCGAGTCTAGATAACTCTTCAGAGGTGAAATGAAGTGTCAAGAGGACAGCATTTATGCTATAGTTTGGGGAGGAGGGTGTAGAATTAGTGGGTGTAGGGTGCTGGTGGAGAAAAGAATTTGATAGTTCAGATTAAGTGATCAGAAATGTGAGAATGGCAGAACAATGGTATGTCTCCTGGCAGACTTGAAAGGACATTAACTGGGATGGGAGAAGGGGAGGGGGAGTATGATACAAGAAAGAAATGGTTCACAATTTGAAGGTGTTGAACTCAATATTAAGAGCACAAGGCCGTAAAGTGCCTAGTCTAAAGATGAAATGCTTTTCCTCCAGTTTATGCTGTGATTCACTGGAACAGTGCAGCTTGCTGAGGACAGATATGTGGGCATGCGAGCAGGACACTTAAAATGACCAGCCACAGTAAGGTCAGGATTCTACTTGTGCACAAACTGGAGGTGCTCTGCAAAATGGTCACCCAGTCTGCATTCGGTTTCTCCAATGTACAGTAGGCCACATTGGGTGCAGCTAATGCAAAACACAAGATTGGAGGTGGTACAGTGAAATGCTGCTTCACCTGGAAAGACTGTTTTGGCCCTTGGATAGTGCGCAGGGATGTGGCGAATGGGCAGGTGTTGCAGCTTCGGTGGTTACATGTGAAGATGCTGGGGGAGGGCAGTGGTTTTGGAATGGACTAGATTGTCTCAGAGGGAATGATCCCTGCAAAATGCAGATAGGGGGATGAGGAGGAAAGAGGTGTATGGTGGTGGCATTCTGAAGTTGTCTGAAATGGCAGAGAATAATCCTTTGAATGGGAGGCTGGTGAAATGAAAATGGGGACAAGGGGAACTCAATCACGCTGTTGAGAGTGATGGGAAGGGGCAAGGGCAGAAGCACGGGTGATAGGTTGGATGCGGTTGAGTATTCACTCTACTTAGAATTTTGCCAAGTCACAAACAAATCCATTTAAGGGAACTGGCCCATCATGACACTAACATGACTGAAG